CCTTCGCAGACATCCCAACCCAAGGCTGGGACTACGGCCGCCACGGTATTGTCGCAACCCTCGCTCTCGCCGAACCAGCAACCCAAACATTCCCAGCCTCAAAGCGAACAGCCTACCAACGCTTCCTCCCATCTCTCGGCGGCCCAATCGCCCTCCTCCCCCTGCCAAACAACCACGCAACCCTCGTCTGGTCAACAACCCCCGAGAACGCCGCTTACCTAAAGTCCCTCCCAACCCCGGCCTTCCTCGCAATGGTCAATGCAGCCTTCCGTCTCGACATGACAGACCTCACCTACATGATGGGAATTCAATCCTCCGATTCAACACATTCCCACCAAGACGAACTCGCCTGGCGCGCTCAACACACCCCAATCCCAGCCCAGATCCCTCCCCCAGCAACAGCCGTGCAAACAGGAACAGTCGCGTCCTTCCCGCTTCGCTTCCGACACGCGGCGCAGTATGTATCGCCACGTATTGCGCTTGTCGGTGACGCAGCACACGTTATTCATCCCCTCGCGGGGCAGGGCCTTAACCTCGGCCTGGCGGATGTTGCTTCGCTCTCGAAGACTATTCAGTATGCTGTTTCGCATGGTATGGATATCGGTGACTTGCTTACTCTCGAGCGATACTCGAGTGAGCGGTACTTACCCAATGCGAAGATCGGGGGTGCTTGCGATCTCCTGCATAAAATGTATAATGTTCCTGGTGAAGGGCCTGTTGCTTGGGCGCGCAGTCTTGGACTCGGCGTCGTTGATCGGTTGCCTTTTGTTAAGTCGTTCTTGATGAAGAATGCGGAGGGATATTAGGATTTCTATGTTGAGGGTGTGTATATGTATGGCTTTTTCTTTGTATTGTACTTCTAGTCCTTTTTATATGCAAGCCTTTTCCACACTAAGTTATGTTGCACCTTTATTCCCAAGACAGCTTGAAACGTCTTGAAAGAGTTACGGTATATACCGTGTGGTCATATTATAAAACGAGAGCAGCGTATGCTGTCTCTGTCCTCGACGTAAGCCTTTTGATTCATCTTGCTCAAGATGACAGTAGGTAGGGACGTTCCAAATTTGGAAGATAACATCTCTGTCTCTTTAGATATCATTTTAAGCGTTACGTAGCCTAAACAGTACACACGGGTTTGCCATGTATAACCAGGGACGTGTATCAAACTAAAGCACAAGGAAATGTAATGAATTGGGTATTGGTAATTCCACGAAGACATCAACCTGAGTCTCTAGAAAAAAATCCTAAGTGCTTTTATCTCGACAATAACATCCCAGTCCTTTTAATAGGCCATCGAGCTCCAAGCCCGACAATGCAAGAGATTCACATAATTTTATAGAAACAGAGAAACCCTCTGGAAAACACGCTCTAAAGGAAAACAAAATGAAAAATGCGGAGCAATTGTTTAATCGCTTAAACACTGGCACCCTGCAGCTGCGCCGCCAAAGAGGAAACGGCACCTTCCTGCTTCTTAGCAAGACGGGTTTGCAGCTCGGGAACCAGGGAGGCAATCTCGACTTCGACGCCCTCCTTCTCGGCGTGTCCTTCGGGAAGACCCATCTCCTTGATGCGGCACTTGCCGGCAGCGAGTTCTTCCTCGCCGAGGATGATACCGAAGGGGATGGCGCCTTGTTCGGCGGCCTTGAATTGCTGGGGGAGCTTGGGCTTCAACTTGTAGGAGAACTCAGCCTGAAGAAATTCATGTTAGTGTTTATTCAATCAGACTAGTATCGACCGAAATGGAATGCTTACCTTAATACCAGCGCTCCAAAGCTTCTGGCAGATTTCCATACGCTCCTTCAACATACCACCAAAGCCCTTGCCACCGAAGGCCATGACATAGGCGTCGACCTCACTGTTGCGAAGGGCATTGGACTTTTGCTCGCGCTCGATGCGTGCCTTGGTAATGGAGAAGATACGGTCAACACCGAATGAGATTCCGACACAGGGGATCTGCGCCTTGGGCAAGAACATGCCGACCAGGTTATCGTAGCGGCCACCGGCAGCGACACTGCCAACGCCGAGAGTGGGGTCGTTGGATCGGTCGTCGTCCTCGGAGGCCTTGGCCTTGCCCTTCTTGGCCTTCTGTGCCTCTGGGGCATCAGCCTGCACACCAGCCGAACCCTCGGTGACAACCTCGTAGATGACACCGGTGTAGTAGTCCAGACCACGGGCAAGAGACATGTCGAATGAGATCTTATCCAAGACACCGAATGCCTCTAGGTAATCCATCATCAAAGACATTTCCTCGAGACCGGCCTTGGCAGAGGCATTGGCGTTAAGGGTCTCATCCTTGAGGAGAGAGTCGAGCAACTCGCGCGAGCCCTTGTTCATAACGTATCTCTCAATACGATCTGCAACCTCGGGGTCAAGACCCTTCTGGTCGACCATTTCCTTGCGCACATCCGCCCACGGCATCTTGTCCAACTTATCGACGGCACTGGAGATAGGGCGGAGCTTGTCCTCGGGCACACCACAGACGGCAAATACACCGTCCAGGATCTTGCGGTGGTTAAGCTTGATGGTGTATCGGCCGGTCCAGCCCAACTCCTCGAAGACCTCGCTGACGATGCGCAGGATCTCGGCATCGGGCACCATAGCGTCGAAGGTACCGGCGATATCGAAATCGCACTGGTAGAACTCACGCATGCGGCCCTTGTTGATGGCGGGCTGGTCACGGCGGTAGACCTTGGCGATGTGGTAACGCTTGATGCTGCGGACGTCGGAGTTCATGGCGAGCCAGCGCGCAAAGGGGACTGTCAGGTCGTAGCGCAGCGAGCAGATCTCGCCACCCTGATCCTTCAGGTCGTAGATGAGCTTCGAGTCCTCGCCATATTTGCCAGCCAGGATCTCGCGCAGCTCGAAGACTGGGGTGTCTAGTGCGGTACCGCCGTGGCGCTTGAAGACGTTTGCGATGGTGGTGAAAATGCGGTCTCGGAGGAGGGCATCGGAGCCGGACCAATCCTTGGTGCCCTTGGGGGTCTTGAGGTTGAAAGAGGAACCCTTGTCTTTAGCCATGATTGATTGAGCGGAGCGATGGGAGGAGGAAAACTGGCGAGTGCGGCGGGGATAAGTTTGGTGGGGGATGGTGGGGGCAGGGATATTATTTTTATTTGAGATGACTCGGTGCAGAGAAGGACAATGAGTCAGGGAAGAACACTGAGTCAAGGAAATAGGAGACAGGCCAAATGGATTGGCAATTGCTCGTTGTACGGAGCGCAAAGGAACAGGAATGGACGGCATAAAAAGAACGGCGCGAAACAAAATTATTGGGTTCATCCCATCTCCTGGTCTCCTGAGGCATCTTCTGGTTCGGTGCTTCTTTCTGTTTGGGGGTTGTTTTTCCGAGTTTATCCGGACAAACCCTTCACATGTTCCCTGTTCTACAACATATGTCTTTTCCAAGGTTATATAGGTTACTATGTGGTCAAATATAGATATTAGTGCCCCTTTTGTGTATCTCATGTCCTTAAGTCCATACCTGACTAAGCATCCAGTACTACTTATTATCTCAAGGTAGCTGATAAAGACACTGAAGACAGAGGCAATTCTATACCTGTTAGGATATTAAGCGCCCAGGCCAAGGTTATATGAGTGCCCAGGGACTTCCCCGGATGTTCCCTTTGTTAATGAAAACCTTGGAATATTGGAAATGCTCTTTCCTCTTTGGGATGGGGGGCCTGGCTTACATTCCGAGGACTATTTCAGTATACTGCATATATATGGATGCAGTATATCCAAGGTTTGTATGCAAATACGGAGTACTCCGTGGGAGAGTATATAGTATCTTGTACATTATGATAGAAACAATAAATCGCTCAGAAATCCACAGTGCACGTCATCTCCGATAACTGATTAGACTACCCGTGAACAGTGGACTCCGTAAACTTTCCTATCTCCTCAACATGCGCCTTTTTCCCGAGCCCCTTGAGAGCTGTTGTACCTCGCCACCCCCATATACTTTGTACAGATTTAGCAACGGAGTGACCTTAATCTGTTTTCATTGGCGGAATGATCAGATCTCAAAGAGTTTGATCAGCCGTTGAAGCCACCTAAGGCAGATTATCCATATTACCCCATGGCGGGAACGTGCGTTGGTGTGGTACCGAAAGGAATGGCTGGATTGGTATTGCGGCGCCTATTGGACCCCGCAAGGGGGCATAGGCTGACGGTAACACCTGGGTGTCGGACGCGTCCCATGGGAGCCTCTCATGGGAAGCATGGAATCCAGATGACTATTCAGGTGGTCTGCCGAGATATCCAGGTGATCCCCTGTCACATTTGAGAAAAAGAGTTCAAGTAAGGAACAACCTTGGAACTCACATTTCGACTTTGGAAGGGGCAGGCCAGGTCCACCGCCACCTTTTTTTCCCCATAACGGTGATGATCATTGGTCATGTCGACGCCATGCGAGGGGCGGACACATGGCCCGTGAGCGAGGGCGGCTTAGAACCAATCACCAAGATAGAATTCTTTGGTTCAGATGGGAGGAGTCTCTGTCTTCCATGGACGGAGGGAACAAGACGACTCCGCTGGGGAAATGCGGCCAATGGATATAGATGGGGCTCCGGTATAGCCGGTGAAGAGAAAAGTGAGAGAAATATAAAAATCGGCGATTGGACCAGTACCTGCCTTAGGTCTCCACGTGGAGTAAAAGAGGCTAAGATGAATGGGGTAGGTAAAGAGATAGAGGTTTAGTTTTCTGGACGTTTCCGTTGCATTTTGTATTACTTGTTATAGGTTGTATATCTTACTATCAAATAAATTGGGTCCATTCCAGACTCTCTTTTAATCTATTTTCCCTCTACCCCATAACTCGGATCTCTTCATTCTCCCGTCTTCCCCCCTCTCTCATTTCCACTCCCCAGAAACCTTATGTGATCAACGTTCATTTTCCCCGGACGCGCTTCATTTCCTTCTCATCTTGCCGATCATCCATCACCTTTAAACAACTTGAACACTGAGCATCAATGCAGAGTGCCACCGACCATTAAGCCATCATGAAGCTCTTCTCCAAGGGCCACAAGAATGGGGTGAGTGACACATCCCTACATGCTCTCTCAACCTGGTAGCACAGCAGATGCTTCGAGCTCCCCGTGAGACCATTCGGATTGGGACCGCTACTGACTTGTACTCGTTGCGCAGGCTTCCAACCCCCCGGCCACGGCGCCACCCGTGAAAAAAGACCTTCAGGTACCGCAGATTTCACCGCTAGAAAAGAGGTTGCAGGACATGGGACCCATCCGTGAAGACGGGAGTGACAAGTTCTATGGAATGGAAAATGTAAGTCTCGGACTTCCCCGGAATTTGAATCGAGTCACTGACTGTAATCCCCGCGCGTGTCTAGTATGGAAACACTTGTTACTGCAACTCAATCCTGCAATGTCTCTACTACTCGGTTCCCTTCCGTGAAGCCGTCATTAACTACCCGCAACGCACCCCGATGGAAAGCCTCGAGGCCGCGCTCGCAAAGAACCTACGTTACCAGAACCCAAATGCACACCTCGAAGCTGAGGCACTGGCTGCCAAACAAAAGGCTTCCTCACCACCATCTGCGCGCCAGGCCGGTGTACCCCCAAATCCAAACCAGAAGCCCGAGGACAAGGAATCACCCGAATACAAGAAGAAGGTAGCACTGCAGACCCTTCCGATTTTGGAAACCAAGAACAATGCGACCAGTTACGGCATGTCCGAGTCTCTTTTCACATCGCTCAAGGACATCTTCGAATCGGTGGCAGGAAGCCAAGCGCGTATTGGTATCGTTCGCCCGCAACAGTTCCTGGACGTTCTACGACGAGAACACGAAATGTTCCGGACTGCCATGCACCAGGATGCACATGAGTTTTTGAATTTGCTCCTCAACGAGGTGGTGGCTAATGTTGAAACGGAGGCTACAAAGCAGGCCTTCACAGAGAAAGCTTTGCCACCAACAGAGAGTGCGGACTCGTTGGGAATGGTGCCATCTAGCACGGGTTCCAAGTCGCCAAATACTACGAGATGGGTTCATGAGCTGTTCGAGGGTACTCTAACGTCCGAGACCAAGTGCCTCACCTGTGAAAAGGTCTCGCAGCGAGACGAGATCTTTTTGGATTTATCGGTGGATCTCGAGCAGCATTCGTCCGTGACCTCTTGTCTTCGAAAGTTTTCGGCTGAGGAGATGCTTTGTGAGCGGAACAAGTTCCACTGCGACAACTGCGGTGGACTCCAAGAAGCGGAGAAGCGGATGAAAATCAAACGTTTGCCCCGTGTACTGGCTTTGCATTTGAAGCGTTTCAAATACACAGAAGACCTGCAGCGACTGCAGAAGTTGTTCCATCGCGTCGTTTATCCCTACCATCTTCGTCTGTTTAACACCACAGACGATGCCGAGGACCCAGATCGGCTTTATGAATTATATGCGGTGGTTGTTCACATTGGCGGAGGACCGTATCACGGCCACTACGTTGCCATTATCAAGACCGAAGACCGTGGTTGGCTGTTGTTCGACGACGAGCTTGTGGAACCAGTTGACAAAAGTTACGTGCGCAACTTCTTTGGAGATCGACCCGGATTGGCGTGTGCCTATGTCCTATTCTATCAAGAGACCACTCTGGAGGCTGTTATGCGAGAACAGGCGCAAGAGAACCAGGCCACCGCCGCAGCAGCCGAAGCAAGTGAGGCCGGAAAGTCTAATGGGTCTCCCTTCTCACCACCGTTGGCTCATGCCCAAAGTGCACCTGTGCCTCCTGAAAGCACAACCCCCTTCACTCCTCTCAGCCGAATCCCAACGGCACCCCCACTATCTACCTACCCAGAAGAACCCTCAGAGCCCCAATTAACTTCATCACGGTCCGTTCAACCGCCTCTCCCTCCGATCCCTGACGAACCAGCTCTCCCATTGAGCCCAAAGAAGAGTGATCACCAACTACGGAAGGAACGTCGGGCCATGGAGAAAGAGAAGGATAAGAACGAAAAGAATCGTCAGAAAGAGCAGGATCTGCACAACCGAGAAATGCACCGACGAGAGGCAGAGGAACTGAGAAAGGCCATCGAGGCCAGCAGGGCCGACACGGTCGACTTCGCCGAGAACGGATCACCAAGAAAGTCGAGCAGTTTCGGGTTTTTGAAACGAGGCAGTCGCAGTCTCAGTCAACGACTCGGCAAAGAAAGAGAGCCCCGACTCTCAACATCGGATCTCTCGGCAGCACCGCTTCTTCCCGAGGTTGTGCCAGAAGCGCCACTCAAAGAGGCAGAACCGGCCCAGCCATTCACCAAACCAGTTCAGCCGATTAAACCAATCCACCAGGCTCAGCCAGTTCAGTCCCCGGTTTCTTCCCCGAGGGATTTCCCACCTATCTCCAACCCTAAACAACCCAAGCAGCCCATCCAACCTATCCGGGCCCCTGAGCCCTTGGCTAAAGACCAACACACCAGCCATACAAAGCCCGGCCATACCCCTCGGTGGAGGTCTTTCAGTTTCAAGAAAGTGTCCTAATCTACAATCAGTGTTTCTTTCAGACAGCACTTGCTTTCGCTTTTCATCTTACATCTTCAGCCCGACTTTCCCGGAGATACCCCTATCATCTTGCACATATGAGCGCAAATTTTGCTTCTGCACATAGCTTCCTTTAATGGATGTACTATCATGTTCTTATGATCTGCGCTTCTCCATCTTCCCATTCTCCTGTGGAGAACCTCGCTCTCAACCGGGGTATTCCCACAGCTATGTCTTTCTAGACTCTGTTGGATCTCAGATCCCACCGGTTGTGTTTTACTCTCTTTGCTTTTTTCTTGCTATTTGATTTGTATTTTTTCTTGCTATCATCGCTTTTCACCACTGCCACCTTTTGATCATGTACAACGGTGGATACATACACTGACAGGGCCGAAACCTGGCAGGTTTACGAAAAGAGGCGTATTGGGTTTGCTATCTTTTGCTGTCTTTTGCTAACAAGCGTGGGTCCTCTGTCGGATTTGGCGTTTGGACTATTTTATCTCATTTTAAGTCTTGAGCGAATCTTCTCTTTTTTTGGCATGTGTTCAGTTCGTTCCTCTTCACTTCTACGTACATGCGGTGATTCGACTTTACTGTCTCGGCCATCTTAGATATACTTGTCGAAAGACTGATCACCAACCCGAATAAGAGAACAAATCCAAGATACAGGTTTGCTATGCAATTACCCAACATCACTCCCCAGACTCCTAATATCATGTAAACCACGTCTCGATCATGTGTCCATTGCGCTTCTAGCTTTTTGGTGGGTATATAGGTTACAGGCCAGAAGTAATCCCAACGAGCTCGAGAAAAAGATGGGCTATTCGCTGCACGCCACCATGATTCTTGTACTTCACCCAGCGCAACATAGAGTAAACGCCTGGCAGCGGTGTTCCGGTCCTATTACACATAACCCCGGTTCCACTCCTCTGCCCCCAGTATGCTCCTTGCTCGTGTGGATCGTGCCGCGTTTCTCGCTTAGGCGTCATTAATGATATAGAGGTTTTCATTGTGAATGGCTCGTCGGAGGGGAGGTCACAGCGCAGCTATGTAGGTTGGCAATAGGGTAGCTAAGAGCTTGGTCGCAACGGATCCGTGAGGGAATTCTCTCGACGCGTGGAGGAAATAGCGAGAAAGCAGATTTAACCAAGAATCAGCTCGTAGACAATGATGACCGTGTTGATGACGATAAGGGGTACTGGATTGGGGATGTGTTAGCTATTCCGTCGGGCCATGGCTGGAGTGTCTTGCTTCATGAAAGCAGGATAGGGCGGCTTGGGGCTTATTCGAGGTTGAAGGCTATTCCTCAAATCCAAGATACAAGACTGAGCTGCTTATATTGGCCTGTGGGGGGTTGGGAAACGTACTCCGCATCACAGTCCGCACACTGGCGATCAGGTTGACGGTCTTGGCTTTCACGCTTGTGCTATCGTATGTCGCGCCGAAACCCGGTTCGGCTTGTGTGCGACCCCATCCAACTGTAGGCTTTCGTTAGGTTCTTATCTTCTGAGTGTAGCTGGGGAGGGACATACCGCGAGCTAGGAAGCGGTCTTCGGAGAGGACGGCGATCGCATTGATGATGAGGACGATGACTGGGAAGCAGGATATTAGTATAAGCTGAACAATGAGGATATGTAGTACTTACCGTAAAACAGCTTCCCAAGACCGAAGAAAAACATCTTTGCGGGTTGGGGAAGATGTTAAAGGTGAAGTGCGGGAGGCGCCAGATCTCCGGATTAACACTCTTCTCGGATGCAGTCACCATGGGATATGGTTCGTTCACTTCTATATAAGAACACCAGCAGATACTAATTGTTTTTCTATAGCATTTGCGATTCTCACTCTTCTCTTCCCGGCCTTGATCCTCCTCCATCTTTTCGTTGCTCCGTACACCAAAGTGGAGGAGTCGTTCCATGTCCAGGCCGTACATGATATCTTGGCTAACGGGCTACCAAATGGATTCAATGACCTGAACCTGAACCGCGCCGATTATGATCATTTCTCTTTCCCCGGGGCTGTTCCCCGGAGCGCTGTTGGCGCTGCGGTGCTCGCTATGCTCTCGAAGCCCGTGATCTTGTTGAATGAGGGGATCAACCGACAGATATTAGGTACGGCATAGGTTTATACAGCTATACGTTCAACCTAAGCTAACACCGGAATGCAGCTCGCGCTATCCTGGGCCTACTCAATGCCTCCTCTCTAGCAGTCTATGCAAGAGGCCTGCGCCGTAGCTTCGGCCAGCCAGCAGCTATCTGGTATATCCTACTCCAAGCAAGCCAGTTCCACATGATATTCTACGCCTCAAGGCCACTATCAAACATGTTCGCCTTCAGCATCACAACACTAGCAATGTGTCTACTCCTCCCAACCCCTGCTCCAACATCCCAACACCAAAAACAAAACAGTCTTGCACTCGCCCTCCTCACCACCGCAGGGGTAGTCTTCCGCTCCGAACTAGCCCTCCTGGTCGGAACCCAGACTCTCTTCCTCCTAGCAACAAAACGAATCAGTCTTAAACACACCATAATAGCAGGCCTAATAGGCCTCACAACCGGCCTAACCCTCACAATCTACCTCGACAGCACCTTCTGGCAAAGCTTCCCCCTCTGGCCCGAATTCGAAGCCTTCCGCTTCAACGTCCTGGCAGGCCAATCCTCAGAATGGGGCACAGATCCATGGCCATTCTATTTCCACAACGCCCTTCCCCGCCTCCTCTTCAATCCCCTAATCTACCTCCTCGCCATCCCCGTCGCCCTACGCCAACCAGCAACCCGATCCCCAGCCCTGGCACTTCTAATCCCGGCGCTTTCTTTCGTCGCGCTTTACAGCTTCCAGCCACACAAGGAATGGCGCTTCATTGTTTACATTGTCCCATCCTTAACGGCTGCAGCTGCCCTCGGCGCTGCGTATCTCTGGACGCATCGCTCGCGCTCTCTCTTCGCTCGTCTGGCGACACGCGCTCTGGCTATCTCCACTCTCGTTGTATTCTGTCTGTCGAATTTTGTACTCCTTCCTGCGTCTGCGGCGAATTATCCTGGTGGTCAGGCTATGGATGCTATGCATTATCAACACGGTATTCATGATGCGGAGTTGCATTCTGATAGAACCAGCTCTACTGTCAATGTCTATCTGGGTAACCTCGCCTGCCAAACGGGTGTAACGCGCTTCTTGCAACAACCGCCTTCGTTGGGGTGGGTATATGACAAAACTGAAGACAAGGCTGTTAAATCCACTAGTGGGTTCTGGGATCGGTTTGATTATGTTGTTGTCGAGGCGGATGAGGAGGTTGGGTTTATGGATGCTGATGAGACGAGTCTGCGGCATGCGCTCCCTTCTTCCGATTGGGAGAGGGTGCATGTAGTAGATTCTTTTGCGGGGATTTCGGTTTTGAAGCCTGGGACTCCTGCTAAGGGCATTGCAGAGCGGCGTGTTATTGGTGCTGTTGCGGGTGCGCGTGCTGTTGAGTTGTTTGAGGGTCTGCGCGAGTATGTGAGAGATTCTTTGTTGCGTGGGTGGTGGGTTGAGGTTAAGATGAGACCGAGGGTTCAAGTGTTGAGGCGAGTGAGGGAGGTGTATAATCTTAGTACAGAATTGGGTAGATTTTAGTATCTCTACACTTATGTTGTAGTATGAAGTGTCATAAAAACCAAGGCCATCTGGTATGGAACTGATATTAACAATTGAAAATAACTACAATATGCCCTCAACATTCGACAAGTACATGCAACTGGGTATTATTCATCAAACCTCTGCCGCGGAGCAGATCAAAAAAGTAGACAGAAATGGATTTACAGTGTCGAGGGACCTTCCAGACGCGCCAGACGAGATTCCAAGTCACGCACCCAGGGCTCGACAGTCTCCACATTAGAGCGAAGAGCAGCTTCGCCCTGTTGCATCTTCTCTTCGACGGTCGTCAGACCTTCACGCCACTGCTCGATCTCCGACGCCATCTCGGCGTGGCGCTTTTCGAGCTCGTTGAGCGAGTCCGCGGCGTGGGCTGCGCCGGCGTGGCAGGCGCGCAGGGAGCGCAGACGCTCGAGGACGCTGGGGAGCAGGGGGTGCAGGGACTGGATGGTTGGGAGGGTTGTGTAGAGGGCTTGGATTTTGGCGGCGTGGTCGTCGTCGGTTGATACTTCTAGTGCGGGGACGACGTCGGCGTCTGAACTTGCTAGACGGGCGTTGTGAACGGCCTTTGCGGCTTCAAAGGCTTTTCTGCGGGCTGCGGTCAGTGCCTCGGCGTCGGTGGTTAACTTTCGGACTCGGGTGGAGAGAGCTTCCAGGTGTGGGGTTGTCATTCCTGGTGCGGCGTTGGGTACTCCTGGCACTGCGGATGTTGGGTTTGTGCCAACGAGAAGGCCGGTGAGTGCTGAGAGGCGGGAGGTGAGTTGGTCCAGAGCTGGGAGGACTGGGTGTGACGTTGACTCGTTGATGCCGTCGGCGACGAAGGGGTTGGATGAGCTTGAGATGCCGATGGAGCTTTCCAGAAGCGCTAGGCGACTGTCGAATGCGGCTGCGTGAGAGAGGATCCCCGCCGAAGAGGCAGTTGGGGCCGCCGGCACTGTGGAGACTGCCTTTGATGCATCTTCGGAGGATTGTGTCTTTGCGTCTGTAGCAGAGCGAATCTGAGGTGTAAGCTTCTGAGACAGCAAAGCCGCAGCCGAGTGCGATGAGCTCGCCGCGCCTCGCGAGGCGTGCAGGTTGTCCAGAGCGCGGCTCAGCTCTGCAACGCCGTCGCCTAGGTTTTCTCCTGACTTTCCAGCTGCAGCACCCTGCGACGATCCATTTCCAGACTCTCCGCCGTCGTTTTTATTGGCCATTTCCACCTTGAGATCTTCGACCTCCCTCCGCAGCCGCGCGAGCCTCCGATCAAGCGACTCGTCCTCGCTATCACTCAGGTCGCCGACCTCCTCTGCCCCGTCCTCGCGTCTCCGCCGACGGCGACGACTCATACTCTTGCTCCGGTAAGCCTGGCGCTTCTGGGAAATGCTATCTGAGAAATTGACATCGCGGGCATCCACGGCCGCGCCCATGAAGTGCATACGCGCCTGGTCCGGGTTGACACCTTCGCGGTCGATATCGGAGTTTGAGCCTGCATCATCATGGTCGGAGTCTGTGCGGATGGTGGCAGTCTGGACAGGGTCAGTGGTTAGGCCCGGTGACGTCTCTTTGTGGAATTGGCGGACTCACGGGCAAGGTGGATGCTTCGTCGGTCAAGTCGGGGGTTTCATAGATATCTGGGGATGGGTCCTGGGTCACAGTCAGTGGATATTGGAGTGGATATTAACAGCTAGCGTTGCTCACCAGGTCAGGAAGACCGGCATATTTCTTATTGAAAGACATGATTGGATTGAAGCTCTCTAAGTATAGTAAACACCTCCGAGGCCGAACTCTCGGGGCTTAATCACATGTACAGTCAGCAGGTCATGTGACCTCGAGCCTCGGATTCAGGAACGAACACATGCAATTGACGCAATTGGACTTTGAAGTTCATTTGACCAAGACAACTATATATATTAAGTGACATCGCTTGAAAGTTCTTGTCTTTTCCCCCTTCTACCCCAGTTCAACTTTCTCTTTAATTGATCAAATCTTCAATTTTCCCCCACTATATCCCCCGCATTTCACCTTCAACTATACAACATTGTATACATCAACCTTCAAGATGGCTGCCCCTGCTGATGTTACCATCCAGAACCTGAGTGGAAAATGGGAGATGGTATGCTCAATCGCTAAATTCCTAAAGCAAAATACTCATATGTGTAACAGGACTCAACTCACTCTAACCCAACAGACCCCCTTCTGTCTTTGGTATGTAACCCTAACCTCTCCAACGTTACCCCAAATATAAAACAGCCAAGCTTCATCCCTGTCATAATTCCCCCTCCAATCATGCATCCCCAACACAACCATAATAATCATCCCCTGCACTATACCATACATAAAACTCTATGCAACAACCCCACTAACAAAAAAAAAAAAACAGCAAGGAATGGGCTGGGTTATGCGCAAGGCACTCTCATACGCAACAGTGACAATCTACGTCAAGCAGTACGCAGACGCAGAGAACCCCACTCTCATCCACATCGACGCACAGCAAGTAATCACAGGCGGCATCCAAGGCACCAAGGAAGAGCGCAAGCTCGACTGGGAAGAGCGCGAGCACGTCGACCACATTTTCGGCAAGCTGAAGGGTCGCTCGCGCTACATCGCCGGCACCAAGAGCGAGGACGGCGCTGTGCGCCCTGCTATCGAGATCCAGACGAAGGCCGGCTCGGCTGAGGCTGATGCTAAGGTTCTGAAGTTCCTGACTGGAGAGACTCTTATTGATGGGTCGAAGAGTGAGGGGTTCCTTGCTGAGGAGGGCGAGGGTGCGTTTTTGCACAGCTGGGTTGTGAATGAGGAGAATGGGTGGACTGCTGAGCAGGTTTGGGGATTTGAGACTGTTGATGGAGAGAGACGTCATACTCGTCGCATTGTTATTTCTAAGGGTGGGAAGGTTGCTACTGGTAGACTTGTCTATGCTTTCAAGGAGCGCAAGACTGAGGAGTAAGATGTTACTCGTGTGTTGATAGGTTTTGTATTTTTCTTAGGGTTTCGGTTTTTTAGTTTGCTATGAACTATAAGTCAATATACATGTAGCATTCAACCCTGCCAATTTACTATGATTGATGATAATATGTATTTAAGGAAGTGTTGACTTTGATCATAGACATGCTATAACCGAGCTCGTAGAATGATGAAGGACGGGGATTTTGAGATTGTTTCATTTCCAAGAATCGATATCATTAAAATGCTGCATGCACTGTCCAATCTGGTTATCCATGTTAATATCCATGAATGATGTGACATAAAACAAAGCATGGGGTTCAGATACATTCATTGAGATCCATGAGGTGTGTATTTTGTTTAACAAAAAAAGACAAATTTTACCATGCGAATGATAGGCTAAAAGAAAATCAAGAAAGCAAGAGAGACAGATACCAAGATATTTAGGAGTGAGTGGGCATCACCACGGTAGCCTTGTTGCTGATCGCATCCTCGCTCTTCCAGAAGCTAGTCACAGTCTTCTGCTGGGTATAGAACTGCAAGCCGGGCTTGCCGTAGAAAGTGTTGGCACCACCACCGGCAATACTCTTCTTGTTGCCGGTGAAAGAGAACATGGGAAGAGGGACGGGAATGGGCACGTTGATACCGAGCTGGCCAGCCTCGCATTCCTTCTGGAACTTGGAGGCCGTCGAGCCGGAGCGGGTGAATATGGCGGCACCATTGCCGTATTCGTTGGCGTTGATCGTCTCGATAGCTTCGTCAAGGGTCTCGACATTAAGGCACACGAGAACGGGGCCGAAGATCTCCTCCTTGTAGCACTTCATATCGGGGGTGACATTGGTGATGATGGTTGGGCCAACCTGTAAAGGTATAATTAGTTCGAGTTACATAGTAGAGTGTGTTCTGTGGTTGACTTACAAAGTTACCGTTGGGGTAGTTCTCGGGCTTGAAGCCACGGCCATCCAGCATAATGGTCGCACCCTCTTCCTCGGCGCTAGTAATCAAGTCCTCAATACGCTTCTTGCTCTCGGGACTAATCACAGGGCCGAGGTCAGCACCCTCCTCAAAGCCACCGTTCACGATCAAGGCCTTAGCCCGCTCGGCGATCTCAGGCAACCACTCCTTGGTCTCGCCAACCATAACGCAGGTGCTCAATGCCATGCAGCGCTGACCAGCAGCACCAAATGCAGCACCGACAATGGCGTTAAGAGCATGGTTCTTGTTGGCGTCAGGCAGGACGGCGGCATGGTTCTTAGCACCCAGGTTGGCTTGCACGCGCTTGCCATTGGCAGAGCCACGGCTGTAGATGTATTCGCCAGCACGGTTGCTACCAACAAAGCTGATAGCCTTGATGGCAGGCGCGTCAAGGATGAAGTCCACAGTGGGAGCGGCGCCGTGAATGATGTTAATCACACCCGGTGGGAAACCGGCCTCCTTGGCAAGCTCGGCAAGGATCATAGCAGCACCGGGGTCCCGCTCGGATGGCTTCATGACCAAGCAGTTGCCAGTCACAGTAGCGACGGGAATAGACCAAAGGGGAATCATGGCAGGGAAGTCTTGGTGACAATTAGCATCTATGTGGAGGGGTTGAAAGTGTTGATAGAAGCAACTTACTGAAGGGGCAAATAGCGGCCACGACACCGAGTGGCTCGCGGTAGCTTCTTGTCTCCATATCCTTGGCCACCTCCAAAACCTCGCCGGTCATCTGGGTAGTGATACCGCAGGCAGTCTCGGCAACCTGAAGGCCACGGAGAACATCACCCTTGGCATCGGCGAAAGTCTTACCCTGCTCAAGGGTAATGGACGCAGCCAATCGGTCCCAGTGGGTACGGATGAGGTTGGTAAACTTGAAGATAATTTGCTGTCTGGCCATAATGCTGGTAGCCCTCCAAGCGGGGAAGGCCTTCTCGGCCGACTCCACAGCGGCCTTCAGCTCCGCATCTGTGCTCTGGGGCACACGGGTAACCAGGTTGTTTGTGGCAGGATCATGGAGATCAATCCATTTGGTTGCCTTTGATGACACAAACTCATTGTCAATGAAGTTAGCAGTGTCAATTGGGTTGGTGATCTTTTGGTGGCTTGTTGGGTATTCAGTAGCGGTGGAGGCGGCTGAGGTTGTTGCGGTGACGAGCCGCTGGGCTGTTGCGTGCAAGCGGCGTGTGGCAGAGAGCGATAAGGAGGGCACAACAGCTCTGCGGGAGACCAGACTGGCAAGTGAAGTAGTAGTAAGAGATCTCGATGATGCAGCTCTGGCAGTCACCGACACCGTGCGGGGAACACCGCGGAGAGCGGGGATGGAACGGGTAATGGACCGACAAGCAGCCATGATGAATTGTAGAGAGGGAAAAACAAGAATAGGAATTCAGAGATACAAGTCACAGAGAAGAGAAATATAAAAGAACAATTCGGCACCTCGGGAATCATATACCTAAGGTTACCCCAGGCCCGAGGTCAACCGCCTTAGTCATAAAGTGGGCATTCCAAGGTTCCCCACGTTGTACAAATGGGCCCCCCAGATAAGGTAAGTTCTCGGCATTTTCAGCCAATCACAAGTTAGAAAGTGACTCTCGAATCGCCGACACTGGCGTCTAATCGCGTATATTGTTTTTCCGAGTTCTCGCGTACTAGACATATTGGACGTAGTAGGCAAGTGATCAAGTCAATTAGGAAGGTACTTCCATTTTCATGCTTTACGTTACGTCTTACATATCTTACATATATTATAGGGCTAAAATATCATAAACACTCAAAGGTAATTGTTTCCGAAAAAGTGGATACCGAGTAGAAATAGAAGAAGTATACAAATCGGGCCTCCAATGTTCTTCAACATTTTGACTACATCGGCCAAGACACAAAGGGATCACTGCGGTAACTAAATGCAAATCTCTTCGCTGATTGGATTTATGGGTAAAGTTCTTTTCTGCGTATAATTGGTTTCCAATTATTGCATTTACTCGGCGGAGGATCGGGTGGTGCGCTTGGTGGCACCGCCCTTGTTGGTCTCAGTGGAAGAGCTGATAGCCTCCTCCTTCTTCTCCTTGGGAGCAGCGGCGGGCTGCTTGCCCTTCTTCTCGGTCGGGGCAGCAGGGCTGCTGGCGCTGATGGCACCCACAACGAGGAGGATCATCGTCAGGAGAAGCGCACCCAGGCCACCGGCCACCTCAGGGAGGGTCTTGGCAGCGTTGATGGGGTCTTCCTTGGCCAGCTCAACGAAGTGGTTGACCTTCTGACGGACAAAGGTGACAGGATCCTCCTGGAAGGTGACGGTGGTACCCTCATCGTTGACCTCGGGCTTGGGCTTGGTAGCCTCCTCCTCAGCCTCCTCGATGGGGAACTTGACATCGAAGGTCTCCTTGCGGAGCTTCTCAGCATCCTCAACGGAGTGACCAATGTAGACGTTGTCAAACAGAATGTCGTTCTGCATGGTCCAGATCTCGAAGCCAATAGCGCCCATGGGCTCAAGGTTGGAAGGAGTCTTGTCCTCAAAGAAAGCGGGGTTCTTGATCTTACGGGGAGCCCAGATGCCCTTGTAAGCAGGGTTGTCGATGAGAGGGGCCTCCCACTTGCCCTTGTACTCGGGGTTCTTGATCATAGGGCGGGTCCAAGTGCCACAGCCAGAGACATCGGCACACTTGGGGTTGGGGACAGTGGGGGCGAGCCAATCTCCATCCTCCTCGTCATCCCAATCCTCGGGCTTCTCAGCCTCGGGGTCGGGGATGCTGTCGGCCTCATCCTCCAGCCAGTCGGCGGGCTGAGTGGCCTCCTCATCAAGGATCTCGAAGGGAGCCTCCTCGTTCCAGTCGGCGGGCTTGGTAGCTTCGGGGTCGGCGATCTTCACCTCATCGACCCAGTCGGCGGGCTTAGAGTCCTTGGGGTCGTCAATCTCCTTCTCAGGGTTGACGGGAGGGTTGAAATCCTCGAGGAGGCTGCCCTTCTTGGCGGAGTCGCCGTTGATCAGAATCTCGAAGGTCTGATCGGGGTTGACGATCAGGGTGTAGAGGGAGGTGACCTTGTTGGTGCGGGCCACGGGAGGAGTCTTGAGGTGCTTCTCCTCGTATTCGCCGGTCTTGGGGTTCTTGTGGCGGAAGATGAAGTGAACCTTGTTAGTGGCACCGCACTTGTCGGGGCCGAACATGACGACATAGGGAGTGCCGTTGGAGAACTCCTCCTGGTGGAGCTTCTTGTTCTCCTGGAGGAGCTTAAGGTAGGCACCGCCGCAAACCAGGGAGTCTAACACAGGAGAATTCCAGTCAGCACATGAAAACGCCACCAGATATAGACAGTCATGACTCACTCTGCGGCTTAACCTCGTACTGAACGACCAAGGTCTTGCCCTTGTTGTCAATCTTCTTGGGGAACTTGGCGGAGATGGCGTGGTGAGCAGCAGCGTTCTTCACGACCAGACCCTTGTCGCCATCGATACCCTTGAAGACGGAGGGCTCCTCGACAGCCCATTCACCGACATAAGCCCACTCATCCTCGGACTTGTCGTCCTTCTTCGCGTGGGAAGGCTTCCACCGAGACTCCCAGTCGTCTGTGAATTGCTCCAGGAAGGGAGCTTTGAGGCTGGTAGGCTTGCAGGAGTTAGTAGGAGTAGAGAAGGTGTGTGTTTTTTTTAGATGCATACAGTGAAGGTAGGCTTCTCAATGACGGTGGTATCCGCAGTCTCCTCCTCCGCATGGGCGTAACCCATGAGGCTGGCGGAGGAGACCAGAGCCGATGTCAACGCAGTATTAAAGCGCATTGTAACAGATAGAAGGAATGAAAGTGGAGCACACAGCACCAAAGTGAAGAAAAGAGGAGATGTGGTTTTATAGAAAGCGGACGCTGGGGGAAGGTCCAGGTGGCCTCTTCACTAAGCTCCCCAATCGGGACTAGGGCGTGTACACGGGTTTCGATCTTGTTCTACATAGCAACATCTATATTAAGTGAGTTATTTTACTTAGTATTTGAGTAAACAATAGTATAACTATTTTCAATTACATATTAGACACTGGTAATCTA